TTGCACAACTAATTTCATTAAAATTAATCATATCATCAATATTATTTGACAAACCCTGTATTTCTGTTTCTACCTCATTGACAATTACTTTACCTACACTAGCAAAATGCCTATTTAAACAATCTAATATTTCCCGCGGATCATCGATCATTTCATTATTTACCTTAAGCTCTTTAATTCTAGTTTGACTACCTGACTTTTTGGTATTTAATAAATTATTTATAACAGACCATTGCTTTTTTGTATCACACCCTGCATCAATCCATTTTTTCCTAAAATGTAAATTTTTCAGATACTTAATTTTATTGTTGACCCTATTTTTTACAATTCGAAACTGATTCGCTATTGCCATATCATTAATGTTTTTACGCATTTTTTTGTACAAACTATCTCGTTCCTTAATTAAATCTAGCAGCTCCTCTGTTATCCAAATATTATTATTATTACACTTGATTTTACGCTCATATTCAGCTATAGATTTACTGTTCATTATTACATTGATGAGATCCTGAAATGAGTTGATTTCCACAGAAGATATCTGCCGCTCAAACGACCTTGTAAATTTTTTGTAATTGATTCCTTTGAAAGTATAAATGGTTTTTTCGTTGACTGGTTTAACTTCTTCTTGTAAATGTATAATTAGTTTTTCATGATCTGATAAGGCATTGGGTTCTACATTTACTGTACATAGGTTTTTAAATTTAAAATCGGTTATTACATGATCAAGCAGTTTATTAGAATCAGGGTTAATCCTAGTAGCGTTATGAACATCAATTTTGTTTTTTATATAAAAATTGCTGAGAGCCAACATATTTTTGTAATTTATAATTTCCCTATTATCTAGATTCAATAGATTTAAATTCATATCTCCAACAATAACATGATTCTTTGGATAACAATTTACTTTCATGGATGAAATCATATCTTACTAACAGAATGCAACAAGTCAAGATCGATGGCTATCTTTCTTCTCTTTTCCATGCATCCTCTGGGGTACCCCAAGGTTCTCACTTGGGCTCCCTTCTATTCAGCTTGTTTATCAACGATTTAGGATCGTTGCATTCGTTGCTCTCCTCAGATTTTTTACTTTTTGCTGATGACTTGAAGTTGTATCGTCAGGTGACATCAGCTCAAGAAATACTTATTTTGCAAAATGATCTTAACATCGTTCAAGATTGGTGTCAGCTTAATTACATGTCCCTCAACATCGATAAGTGCTGTTGTATAAGATTCAGTAGACGCACCCATAGTGTTCCCTTGCAGTATTACTTAAACAATGTTCGCTTGTCTGAAGTTTCTATCATTAAAGATCTTGGTGTCTATCTAGATACTAGGCTAATGTTCACTGAGCATTTTGAAGTGGTAATTGGCAGGGCTAATAAAATGTTGGGTTTTATTAAGAGAGCTACTAGGGACTTTACAAGTATACGCCCTATCAAAATTCTTTCACATCACTGGTCAGGTCCATTCTTGAATTTTCATGCATAGTTTGGTCACCTTACTATCAGATCCACATCAATAGGCTTGAGAGTGTTCAACACAAATTTATCAAGTTTGCAAGGTACAAACTTTCTTTGAGTGGTGTGATTCTCAGTGATGACCTGACTATGACTTATTTAGACTTATCTACTCTTGTTCGCAGAAGGGAATATTTTGATGTCTGTTTTGCATTTAAAATCCTTAACTACTACATAAAAAGCCACGAATGTCTTGAATGTTTTAATCTACACATTCAAAGTTATCAGACACGAAGTAAATCTTTACTGCACATTCCTTACTGTCGAACCTGGTACTTACTATTCAGTCCTGTGAATAGAATATCTGCCAATGTAAATAAGTTCTGTGAGGGCCTTGAGTTCTTTGGTTTATCTCTGGATAAATTTGAGACGAAGGCCAGGAGAATTGTTTTAGGTTAGATTTTTTTAGATTTAAACTCTGTTCAACTTCAAATGTATTTTTCTTATACGTAAATAAATAAATAAATACTGCCAAAATCACAAGTATAATTCTTACATTATACATTAGTCGTAAATAAAGGTATTATTATTAGAGGAAAATCGAGCTTTTAGTTGCAGCAATCCATTAAGCCCTGCGTTGTTTGATAATTCATATTTGTAGATCAAAAGCCATTGACTTAAAATAGCAGGAACTTAATAAAATTTAACATTATCCCTGTTACCTCGACTTCCACACCCAATTACGATGCAAATCGCTGGCATTTTAATTAACACAATACCTAAACACACAAAAAAACACAAAATCCGATGATTCTAATCTGACGTTTGTCCAGAAGGTGACAGAATCAATGACATACAGAATAAACAACACCGTGCTTGACCCAATGTTTGACCCGAACTTCCATATTGAATTTCGTTTTTGACAGGTCAGTAGATTGCCTAAGGCGGCGTTCCGTATCTTAACCAGAGCTACCGATCGGTATATAGCGGTTCGTCTATGGTGACAGTCTGGTTCCTGAAAATGCGGTTTATGTGTGGAACGCTTGGGTTCAGCTTTGGTTTACCTTAGATGCTAGTTGATAGAATATTATCCTCTTAAAAATTTATTTGTGATAAAAAATCAACATTAATGAATGTAATATTCACCTCTTGTTCCATTTTCACCGCAAATAATGCACTTCGAAAGCGGAAGAAACATATAAAAATTGAAAAATTATCACCTAACCTAACAAACAAAATGTCAGAAATTAGGCAATCCAACGACCTGTCCAAATGGCGTCTGGTTGGCAAACAATAAACAAAAAACATATGTTTTTTTTGGCAGGATTAAGCCTATAGTACTCATAACAGCGATTTATGCATGAATCAAACGTGAAATTGTCGAAGCAATGTCAAAAAAGAGCGAATTTCGCGGTTATGAGTACTAGGCTTTATCAATACACGGGGTGAGTACTCAAATCTGACACTTTTCTGACGTCGTTGACCCGTATTCTAACCTCATAAAAATTTCAAAATGCCGGCTGGTTGGCAAACGTCACGTGGTTTGGATTCCCTAATTGAAAGCAAACCGAAACAACCAAAACTTTTTGATCGGTAGATTCGGTGACAGTTAAAACTGAATTTTTCAGGAACCGCGTTCCATAACTTAACCAGATTTCAGGAGTGGTTGGGTTACGGAACGGGAACCGGAAAAACCAAGAATCTTGGTTAACTTACGGAACGTCGCCTAATTCTCCGAGCATGAATTTACCGTTCTTTATTCAAAAAATGTACTCGGTGCAGGCTCATTCACGTTCGTTTATTGAAATTTCGAGCCCTCTGATAGAGCGATTAACTACTATCCGTGCGTTCGTTATTTTGGTCTGAGTTCTCCGAGCTTGACTTTACCGTTCGTTTATTTAAAAAGTGTACTCGGTGCAGCCTCATTCGCGTTCGTTTATTAAAATTTCCGGTACTTTTATACGGCGTTCAACTGCTCCGTTCGCTCGCTGGTCACGTGATTACGGCTCCGCTCAGCTCGCTCTACACTTTGAGCAAAATACCGAACGCAAGGTTTGTGCGCTGGCTGGTCACGTGATTAGGGGCGGTTACACACGGACGTGGATGTCTTAATACATATACATGCAAACAACAATAACGTGCATGGCGTTTTCGTACAGACGCTCGCACAAAACTGCAGTCTTGCTATTCTTGCTACAGTGTTCCGAGTGTGCATACAAAATTGCACATTCAAAAACGCGACGGTATTTTGTATACACATTGATGTTTTTGTCTGCACGTTCATGTATGTGAGTACATTTTTTCAGACATCCACGTCCGTGTGTAACCGCCTTAGGGCTCCACTCTGCACGCTCTGCTCTTTGAACAAAATCCCGAACGCATAAATTACCTACCATTACATAAATTGACAGCATTGAGGATGGGTATCAATTTTGCAGCACGCTAGCCGAAGTGCCAATTCGCTACCAAATTGATTGAGGATGTAGCTTCAAACCATTTAAATGAATGAAAGCCAGCGCATCTGTTCCTCTCAAATCGGGGTCAACTAACACCGGAGCGAGTAACTCTGTTGTTTTGAACTCTTGAAAGGAATACAACTATTACCCGCTTTCCAGCTGACCATTTTGAGCACGCAGTCAAGCTTTTGCGCGCGCATATGCTTCAAGCGCGTGTTCGTGTTCCAGCCGTACTGCGCTTCGAGAGCTGCTAACTTTTGCGTTTCAAACACAGAACACTTGGTCTGTTTGTTATTTTAGTGTAGGATAGGTCAGTGCAGTTTGGTGTAGCTCATAACCACCAGGGTAAAGGAAAACTACCAAACGGGTTAGTGCAGTTCGTGTAGCGATAGGAGCGAATAATTCTCTAACCTCAAAATATGATTATTTAAATAAATTGCAGTAAAAACTACTTATATATTTATAAATATAGTAACAGCCAAACAAAACAAAACTATTGCCCCCTCTCCATTCTGCACTTGTTACACCTCCTCTTGAGCAGGTGTAGGGGTAGTGCAAGATTGGGCACCGTACACTGAAAAAAGAAACGTCTTACACTATTTGCACTAACCGCATAACAAACGCCTTAAGTGCAGAAAAGTGTAAATTATTGTGCACTAGTGGAGGATAACAAACAGACCTACTGTGCTACACTGTGCTTGAAGCACACAGCTGGAAAGCGGCTTTAGTTGTATTCCTTTCAAGACTTTGAAACACTCGAGCTACTCGCTCCGGTATTTAGTAGCCCACGATGTGCAGGTAACAGATGCGTGGTGGAACAAACACTTTTCGAAAGGAATAAGCGCGTGAAGCCCCGGAGCTGTTCCGGAGCTCCTCCTAGATGTGAAAGGAACACGACTTTTTGTGTGATGGTAGTAAATGCCACAAAATTAGAAGAAGTAAATAAAACGTCACCTGTCGGTAACTGTCATCTCATCATAAAAACAGCGATTTTGCGGTTTTGAGCACCGAAATCGTGAGAACCGAAGTGACAAGATATAGTGGAGATTTTCGAGTTTTATGGTTTTTGACATCGAAATTTTGAGGGCGCGAATTCGGAGTGTCGAGCGAATATATTTCGTGATTAAATTAGGTGCTTCCAAGGAGCAAAATTAATTTTCGGATTAGTAGCAAAATTAAAACGTCTCATAGCGATTAAATTTGATTCATAAAAAGACCACATGAGCGAAAAATAGGCAAATACAAGTTTGGTAAATTTTAAGAATTTATTTGAAATTGACAGGCGCTGTTGCCAACATAGGAAAAACGTCAAATTAACCCGAAAATCCCTCAAAAATCATCTAGGATTTTTAGATTTTGGTCATTTTGGATCATTCACTCCCTAAACCTGTTCATTCTTTTGTTAGGGTATTAAAGCTTTGAATCTTTCGTCTGTCTGATCCTGTCGTTTTGGTTTTGTGACTCAAGTTAACACTGTTAACAGTTTTGCAAAAGTTGCGAAAATGGAAACGGACGAAAGTTCTAATCGTACAAAAGCAGAACCACCTATCGATAAAAAAAGTGCTCCAAACTCTGATGTGATTTCACTAACTTCCTCAGATGATGAAGAAGAGACAATTTCCAGTAGTAATCAAAAAAAGGTAAATTTGGCAAATAGAAATTAAAGTGTCATGGTCATGTCAATAGTACTATAAATTCATTAATTTATGATAGGAAGAGTCAAACTGTGTCCAAGTTTAAATCGAAATATTTTAATTAAAATTATACAAGATCTATGTATTGTAGGTATGTATGTACTACCCAATGCTTCTTGGTGAACATTATTTTGGTTATCACTTCATCTACTAATGTTATGAGCAGCAATTAATACATATTATTCTTATCCGTATTTACATAGGTGTTGTTGAAAAGAAAGTTAGCCAAGTCAATTTTTTTTTCAATTTCAGAGATTTAAAATAAGCCCTGTTGAAAATTTACCTCACATATCTTTGACGCCTGTGAGAAACACTCCGGATGTTGTATTGGATGTATTGGACTCCGACGATGAAAAACCTGAGATTATTGAAAGTTCAAATAAAGTGTACAAGATAAGTGAAAGTTCAAGTAAAAATGGTACCACAGGCAAGGGAGATAGTCGACCAAAGGAAAAGAACAAGGTAAAAAATCCCTTGAACGCATTACTGAAAAAAAATGGAATAACTGTACGTCCAAAAGGTGATGTTGTGTCCGTATTAATTGAAAGTGATTCAGACATTGAAAGAAATGAAAAAAAGCGGAAAAACTTAGATAAAGAAGCAAATAAAAGAAGTGATAATGATGAAGACAACAAATGCTGGAAAAGAAATAATGAAAACGGAAAGCGAAAGCGTAATGGAACTCATAAAGATACCACAGAAGAGGCTGACATCTCAATGAGATCGCATGATAAGGATGAGAGCATTATAATTCCTGACTCTGATGATGACACAGAAAAAGAGAATCATTGTGAAAATGATTTTGAACCATTTCCCGTTAACATGGACAAGACCACCACTAGTGATGCTGATGCTATAACACAAGTAAGAAATTATGTTATATGATAACATTTAGTAGTTCATGGGAAATATTTCATCTTGGTTTTGGTTTGTATGTGCAGGGGTTATTGGCCATTATTTTGATCAAGGGGTTAATTAAATTATGTTATTAGATGTTTTACGTTTTTGACACATGTTTTAAGTTTGACAATATATGTAAAAAGACAGTAGTTTTTGGCATGTAAATTACCTTGATTTACCTTTCACCTGTCACAAAACATTCTGATACCTGAATAGGTTTTTGAATAACACGAGGGGTCAACCACTTTGTAAAAATGTGTACACGTATTGCGAAAATGTCGGTATTTCGCAAGTACTTCGCGAAATTCAAAGTATTTCGGTGGTGGTAATTCCCGAGTAATTGCCGAGTATTTCGAAATATTTGCAGATAATTCTAAGTATTTCGAGGTAATTCGAAGTATTTCGAGGTAATTCGGAAGTATTTCGCGGTAAGCCGTTATTTCGCGCTATTTAAAATTATTAGTATTTTTTTTATGCACCGAGAATAATTAATTCTTTATCACCAAAAATTGAAATATTATAGAATGAAAATTATAGTCCATCTTCGAACAAGCTAAATCGAGGGCTAAATATGCTTACATAATTTGGATTTACTGCAGATTAATTGAAACAATTGGAAAGATATACTACCTGATATGTATCAGTAATCAGTATTAGTAAAGTGTCATTTACATCCACTCAACTTAACATACAGAAACTTAATAATAAAGAAAAGTTGATGATCATGTATACTTATCTGTAGTTGTTTACATCCACTTAAAAATTAAGAAAATTAACGTACCACACGGAAAACTGAACCAACTTCAACTTGAGGAAATCGGTACGTTAATTTCAATAATAATTATGAATGACACACAGATTGCACTAGTCTGTAAATTATCAGTTTCGTACGTTAATTATAATTTTCCGTACGTTAATACCTTAAGTTGATGTAAATGACCCTTTAGTTGTTAAGAGTACAAGATCATCGGTCATCCAACGAGGACTGAACAGGGGTTGACAGGGGATTATTTTTGACTTTCCCTGTATTATTGAGAACATTGAAAATAGCCAATTGGAACATTTTTTTCTGGAGAACTCAAAAATGATACTAAAAAATCATTTGAACAGCGTATAATTTGATTCCAAACGCAATAAAAAGCAATATAAGACCTAAAAAGTTTTCAAAGCAAGCAAAAAAATATCTTTGGGAAAATAGAATAACATTTCTGAAACTGCTGTCATAAGACCTGACTATAATTTTGTGCTTTTCATTACTAGATTATTATTAGATAAGTAAGTAATTTTTAGGTTGTAGCTCGGGTTGTAGTGATTTTTCTTTTCTTTTTTTTTTCCGTAAGTGTGAAGTAAACGTGTAAAAAAACTTATCTCTAAATACAATTACAAAAATTTTAAATATCAAAATAAGCACATACAAATGTTAAGTCATCTAGGTGCTTTAGTTAGTTATATATAATATTAGTATTGTAACATAAATTTAATGTAACAATATTTGTAACTATTTTGAAATAAATAAACTGGAAACTTGAAACTTGAAAAACCAAAGAGTTACACCATGGATGAGCGGTTTTTTGAATGGAACAGCCTATTTTTTGTATGATTTTTGGAGAAGTCACACTTCTCATTCCGTTGAAAATATCTGATATTCCAATAACTGTTTTTATCTTATATTAATGTTTTATTCTTATTCCTGCAACTATTGAATTAATTGTTGTTTGTGTGTCTGAATATAATCCATCTTATCAAAAAATACAAAAATCGAAGCAAAAATTCTTCACTGTGATCCACAAGAAGAATCGTTATAAATGAGAATTTTTTCAGTATTGCGGGACTTCGCGCGGTAATTTGGGGGTATTTCGGGTACTTCGACGGTAATTCCATGGGATTTCTCGTACTTCGACGGGAATACCTGGTATTTCGACGTACTTCACGGTATTTCTAGGTACTTCGAAGTATTTCGGAGGTAATTCGGGCTAATTGTACACGTATTTCGGGAAGTGGTTGACCCCTCGGAATAACATGGAATAACTGAACTCCAGATATTTCCAAAACTATTGAAACTTGAAAGAAACATTACCATATTATATATAATCTGAATCAGAAAAATGAGAACTTTAAGAATTTTATAGAAAATAGAGTGCCTTCTATTTTGAAAAAAGTGAACATCGGCATATTGGTGTTGTTCATTTGTTCAATCTAATTAAATATTCTGGCGGTTTAGATAAAATGCTATAACTTTTACCTATCACCTGTAATTACAGCTGCAGGTGGGTGTCAAAATATGTTGTTCCTTTTCTTAAAGTTACGTTGGAAAATGGTTAGGTTAACAGCAGGGATCGACCGATACGGTTTTTTTCTTCAAAAAACCGATATTGCCGATACCGATACAATATGGCTTTATAGAAGGCCGATACCGATATAAGGCCGATACGGATTCTCGCACCTTTTCCTTTAGTTTGAATGTTTTATTTGTTTTCTCGCACCTTTTCTTTTAGTTTGACTGTTTTATTTATTTGTTTTCTTCTAGTTTTAATATTGTTTGTTCGAGTTCAGATACGCAGAAAGTTTAGTTTTTTTTTTTAAATAAATAAATAATTTTGAATTTGAGTTTAGATACGCAGAATGTTAAGTTTTTTTTTTTTTATATAAATACCTAATTAATTTAAAATAAATTTATGAAAAACAATTTCTAATATTTACTTTCTTCTTAGTCACTCCCATATGTACGAACCACAATTATTAGCTCTTTTAAGCTTCAAAAAAACCTTAGTGATGATTACTGATCTTTTAAAATATGATTTGTATCGATCTAAAGTTATCGGCCAATGAAGGGCCGATATACCGATAGAATAGAATAGAATAGAATAGAATAGTAGCTTTATTTCAAATTAAGTTTTTACAATACATATTACAGCATTACAAAATAACATGAAATGAAATGGCGTCACAAAACAATATACTTAAATTACATATCCAAGTAATCTTTCACACAATATGGTTCTATGTCTATTAACAATTTCTTGGTTTTATTTTTAAATTCCTTGTAGTTTTCTATTATTTTAAAGTCGTTTGGTAATTTATTAAATATTTTAATACAGTTATAAGATGGATTTTTTTCACTTAAAGTTAATCTATGAATAGGATAATAAATATCTGTGGTCCTTGTATTGTATGTGGTGTTAGTGTTATGTATTAAAAATTCATTTTTGTTTTTATGCAAATATAAGAGGCACTCGTGTATGTATAGACCATAAACTGTTAAAATACCCAACTCCCTGAATTTGCCTCTACAGGAGTCTCTGAAGCTCATGTTAAGCAATAACCTGATAGTTCGCTTTTGGACTACAAAGACTGATTGTGTTGAAGAACTGACTCCCCAGAAAATGATACCGTACCTCATCCGAGACTCAAAATTTGCATAGTAAAGGATTTTTTTAACTTTGTCTTCTACATATCTGTTTAGTACTCTGAGTGCAAAACAAACACCGTTCAATTTTTTCACTAAACTTTCAATGTGTGTTGACCATTTTAGAAATTCATCAATTATAACACCTAAAAATTTAGTGTGCTCTGATATGTCAATTTCCTGATTATGGATACTTATTGCTGATGGTTTCTCTTTTAGTTTATTAGTGCGAAAAATCACAATGCTTGTCTTGCTCTCGTTTATAACTAGTTCATTTTTCTCAAACCAATCCTCTGCTCGAGAATATAGCTCATTGCTTTTTTCTTCCAAGTCATGCCGATCCACTCCGGCGACCAGCAGATTGGTGTCATCCGCATAATTTGTTATTGCAGACTCTTCCAATCCGCTGCACACCGAACTCAGATCGTTTATCATGACCAGGAATAGTATCGGCCCTAGTATGCTCCCCTGGGGTACTCCCACCTGATTTTGCAGCCATCCTGATCTAGATGAGTTATTGTTCCTATGAATTTCCACACATTGCCAGCGATCTGATAAGTATGAGGTCAGCCAACTCAGAGCTCTTCCCTTTATACCATAATTTTTTAGCTTTTCTTTTAAATAGTTTCTGTTTAGGCAGTCAAAAGCCTTTGATAAGTCGATGAATAGCCCAGCAGCTAATTTATTTTCTTCAAGAAATTTGAGTATATTATATGTAAATTGAAAAATTGCTGTATTTGTCGATTTACCCTTTAGATATGCATGTTGTGATGAACTAACCAGATTACATTCATTAAAAAAACTTAACAGTCTAAGGGACATTGCCATTTCAAAGATTTTTGAAAAGCTATTTAGCAAACTTATGGGTCTGTAATTTTCTAATTTTTCTGGATCTCCTGACTTAAAAATCGGTTTTATGAGAGTTACCTTTAGCTGGTTAGGAAAAATGCCAAATTTGAATGAATTATTTATAACATAACAAATAACTATCTTTATACTTGGAATGCTTAGTTTAACAATATTCACGGGAATTTCATCAATGCCACTACTTAGTTTATTTTTAAGTTTTTGAGATATTTCTATTATTTCTTCTGGGATAAAAGGTCTTATATATAAAGAAGCATTGTTTTTTATGTTGTCACAATTGAAATTTTTACTGTTCTTTATTAGATTTGGAATTAATTCGATTAGAAAGTTATTGTAATTATTGGCTATTGATTCAGGTGTCCCCCGGATTTGGCAGTTTGCATTTCTGGGAGAGTTGCCCTGAATGTCGTTGCATACTGTCCACATTGCTTTATTTTTATTATCTGATGATCTTATTTTGTTATTATAATGGTTTTTTCTCGATTCAACTAAGATTTTATCATAACTTTTTTTTTCAGCTTTGTACAATTCTTTAAAACTACTATCAGAATTGCTTAATCCTAACAATAAATCTAAATTTTGCTTACATGCTGCCAGTTCAGGGTTGCAATAAAACATCTTATTTTTCGATTTATGTCTTACAGTTTTTTTTGGAAAGTGCTCATTGAAAAGTTTTAAAAAAATTGAAGAA